TTAGCTATAGTAGTAGTACACAGAGCAATGAAATACTTGCAGGCAGCATAGGTGGTGAACAACAACAGTATAGGCTAATAAAAAAATACTAACAAAGCTAACATCCTCTGCACGTCCCTGACCACGTCGGTGACAATGTGAGCTGTATTTGCAAGTCCGCTGGTTGACATGGTAACTTCCATTTTGATGTGAATGTGACTACTGGCTTTAACATTAACACGAGCTTTGTTCTGAGCTTCGAGCTAAGTTTAACATGCTGTTTCTGTTGTATCTGCTGTTGTTTGTTGGTGTTCGGAGTTAGGAATGATTATGTGGTTGCCTTTGTTTCTCTTTGTTTTCACTGTTCTTATTGTGGAGTTTCTTTTCTTGCCTTTTGTTATTACCCTTTCTGTTTTCACTTTTTCCAACTCTTGTTGTTGCTCTCGCTCTTGTTGTGACAGATATTGGTCTCACTGCTGTTGCCGCTGTTCCTGTTTCAGTTGTTGTGGCTCTTATGGTTATTGTTTTGGTGCGACTGGAAGTATTTTCTCAGTTGCATAAGAAAGAAAATATGTATTTCACCGTCTGTTGGCACTTCAGTGACACCAGGAGACCTGACGTCAAACACAGATTCATCTTTTCCACAACAAACACATAGCAGGCAATTCAAATATTAATACTCGCCAAAGCATGGTGAGGAGTTTCATGAATTAGAGATAAAATACATCCCTCTCACCCGACAGTACTGTATGGTTTTCTCACTGTCCTCACACAGCTGGGCCAGCAGACTGCTGGATGGATGGGAGGGGGGTAGTTGAGGGTGATGTGGGGGGAGTTGAGTTACATTCCTTCCATCGGGGCTGTGTGTCTGCCAACCAGGTCACTCCCAGTTCAGTCCCGGGAAATTGGGAGGGAAGAATTTCCTCTATGTGTCCATACTGGGCATGGCCACAAACATACAGAGGCCTGTGTGCACCCGGTGCACATGTGGGTGTGCGTGTAAGTGTGTGTGTGTGTGTGTGTGTGTGTGTGTGTGTGTGTGCTGATGCTTAAAACTGAGCACCCAGTGTAGTATGACTAGCATGTTATTTTCTTCCATGTACATTGTAGGAGAGGTGCGGTTGTACATGTTGTGTAAGTGTGTGCTTTGTGTAGGTACGTGTGTACTCTATGTGTGTGCAACTGAAGTCTGCGGCTTTGTACGTGTGAACGACAGAAAGTTCTTTGACTCTACAATATTTTTCACATTTTACTGAAGAAAATATTTCTTAGATCTTAGTGACAATCCAATGGTACAGAATTGACGCTGCATGTGGCCTCTAATAATCTCTGTAATGATGACAACTCTTTGTGTCACTGATGAAACAAAGACCAGTTGCAACATATTATATATTAATTGTTTTTACCTGTGCAAACACTGAAGCAATTCTTTAGCCTCCCTCCAGACGTCCCTGCATCCCCTGTCCTGTTCACCACTGACTCACCACGCTCAACGACACTGAGACAACTGATGATTCCATTAGATTCCAGGTCCACTGGCCTAATAATAGAAATATGGAAAGATAATATACATTGATATCAGCCTCCAAAGTGTGCACATCCTCAGCTCCACATCATCTGCAACTTGTCACGACCGTTAATGGTGTCTTTTGGTAAAGTGTCCTCATTCTTTGCCTTTGTTTACTTCTCATACAGACATAAGTTGTTGAAAATGGTTTCAGAGTAACGCTCAGTGAGGATATCTGCATCTCTGTTCCTGATCAAACAGGGCTTTCAAACACAGTGAGATAAGTGGTAGAAAGTGTCCAGAGCGAAATCTCCCACAAATGAAGTGCAGGTGGTGCTGATTGTGCAAGAACCATGTAGAAAATATTATTAAAGCTGCAAAATTTTATATCAACAATAAGTCAATAGACTTTGTGTAATGTGAATCATATCCCTTGTAATGATGAACAGAATCATGGTTCCTTTTGACTCTATGTAGCATTTTAGCCTCTTTCACTTCCTTGTTTTGTTTTTTACGGCTGGCGACTCTACTGTCTTGACTGACTGTTAACACACTCTCCATTACACATCAACTTCCCCAGGAAGTTATTTTCTAAGCAAAGAAGCTTTAACAACAATCAACTCACTGGTTCTTTGTCAGTTAATTAACTGTTAGTGAAAGAGCAATACAAAGCAAGACAATATGTTTCTTACATTACATGCAGCAATGAGTTTGTGATTCATGCTGAAGTCAGTTTGTCTTTGTTGTAAGTCAGCATGACCTAAACGACCAATTTTCAATGGAAGCAATTATGAACTTTAGATTTTAAATGCCATGAACTTTTTCTTTACAGTAAGTTCACATTACTTTCACATATTCTGAGAATAGATATAAGAAGGGTAAGGAAATATAGAGTAGAAGGGCAGGTGCAGTTCCTCTTGGCAAGTTAGTTAAACTTGCAGTAACTTTTAAAGCCTCTTAGAGTTGATATGTTGATATGTCAAACTTGTGAGCAGACAGTTGCTTAATTAAGATTAGAGCAACTTAGCACTTTAAGTCATCTTTATGAATTTAAGTCCAATATTCACTCCTCTTCTGGGTTTATTTTTGGTCTCCACCAACTTCTGAGGAACATATCTGCCTCTTTAGCTGCTATATGCTCCACCATGTTCACCAGCTATAGTTGCTATATTTATCTGCCTGCTGTTTGGTGCTGGGCAGATAGTGTGCTGTGTGTTTATCAGTGACCTCAGTCTCCTGCATCTAGAAACACTACTAATGGGAGCGGTCAGGAAAAAATTAAAAGAGTAAAGTTGTGGACCATAAACCAAAACAATTTTATCACCCCAAGCGACCCCTTTCACATACACATATAACTGAATCTATTGAGTAAAACATGTTTATAGCAGCATTAAAGTAATGTATAATAACCTGGTAATTTTGAGACAGGAGGGTAGCTATAAACACAAACCAATCTTTAAAAACAATGGCAGCCTCGTCACTGCCTTCTGTCGTGCCATGAGGTTTTGGCATGAAAGACTGTACTGCCTCATAGCACTAAACAGAAACTTATTTTGCTCAGCAACAGGTCAGAATTTGACTTCAGTTCCACTACTCTGATGGCAAATGTTCAGTTTATACCTTCAACCATATTCCTGTGGACAAAGAAATTCCTCGTGTAAAGACAAGGACATATGGTAACATCCACTTTGACACAGGAAGTCTGGGTTTTTTGGGGTTTTTTTTTGTGAAATATGGTCTTGATTTTGAGATATAAATATTCTATACATTGAGCCAACCGAAAGTTGTTACTCATTTTTTCCCTCAAACAACTGCAAAACTCTCCCAGTGAACTGAGAAAATCGACCTCCTCCAGATTTCAGAATCAGAAGCCACTACGTTGATACTAAAAAATATATACGAGAATAATACATTTTAAACCCTAAATCATTAACGTTGTATTTGTTATAGGGAGACAAACAGAAGTGAAGGTACAGACAAAAAAACACAGACAGGCTCAGTGTGCTTTGCTGGGGGGTGGGGGGTGGGGGTGGGGTGGGGGGGTTGTGGCTGAGTCGTTGTCTGGGACAGGAAACATGTGAGCTGAATATGGGATCCGTAGAGAACTTGGCAGCCACACACACACGCGCGCGCGCACACACACACACAAACACGCACACACACACACACACACACACGCACGCACGCACGCACGCACACACACACACACACACACACACACACACACACACACACACACAATGCAGGGAAGATGGAAGCTCTTCCAGGACACACAGGACTTGGCTCTTGCAAACGACGTGTCACAAGGAATTAAATTAGATGTTGCTGTGCAGAGAGCCCAGAACAAGGCAAAGGGACTTTCTCAAGGAATCTGCGGTAAAGTTGGTTCAACCGGAGAATTCATTTGTAACAGACAGTCCTGCAGACTCGCTTCTGCAGCAGGTCATTTAATCACTGCATTTTGTCTATTACACCTTCCTGGAAAGGGACCTGGAGCGAAGAGAGAGGGGGGTGGGGTGGGGGCTACAATCTACGGTATCAGTGTGACACATCAGTCTCCGTTTGAATGTCTGATTTACTGGTTCTTGGGAGTCACATGTATCAGTCAGGTCAAATGGCTTATGACAGACATGTTACACAAGAGGGAGAGGGACTACTCGGAATTCAGCTCTATCAAACACACACCAACATTAGAAGTTTTAATGTGATATAGAAACCACCCTCCTTGGATAAGCTGCATGTGCCAAACATGTGTAGGGTGTTCCCAGTACACATGACTGCCACTATATGACTGTACATACACACACAGGCAAACAGCATTGTTCAACAAATATAGTGCATGGTGACTTGCTGTCTTGTTTGAGCCCTGATGAAAAAGCCAACTGCTGCTCTCCAGCTATGTAGCCGCCTGCCATGCTCACCTGTCATGACTCAGTGCTGAGTGGGATATTAGCGGGTCTCTTCCTAGTATCCAGTGCAGTGTAAGAGGGCCGGCCCTCCACACTGGCCCTGGACTGAGTTTAGCATCATGGGAACTGCTGATAGCAGCTGGGGTCCTGGGAGGTTACACATGAGTTCAGCTGAGTTGATCCAGCTGACGGGGTGCCCCGTAAGTCAAGATACTGTGGATTGACCTGAGAGAGGGGGACTGTTTGTGGAAGACTGGGGAGTGTACTCAGCTGGGTGGTCTCCGCACTCTGCCCCTGTATCAAAATATAGACTTCTGAGGATTGTTCCTGTTGCATATTCAAGGTTTTGTAATTCAGTTTTCAGTTGTGTTTCTCTGTGACACAGCCTGAGGGCCACCTGGTGGTCACACAGGCAGCTGCAACTCACCACACTTGCTCAGGAATGATTGAAGAATTAATCAAAAACAGCAAAGGTAGCATTTTGCTTTTCCAGTGGAAAGAACAATTGTCACTCAGTATGTTTCTGTAAAAAAAACACACAAGGATTGAATTACTTGAGATAAAATGATGAGAACAAAAAGAATTTCTATTCTTTAATACTGAAGTGAAATAATGGCCTAAAGCCTTAAAGTTGTTAACACATTCACATATGTGAACATAACATACACATACTCACACACACACTTCTAAATTCATATGTCAATGCAAATGCAGACAGTGTGAAAATTCTCCACTGCAAATAAAAGTGCACTGCACTCAAAATCCTACTGAAGTACAAAAGTGTCAGCAAAATGGAATGAGAGTAAAAAACTTCTTACTTCTTATACAACAGAACGGCCCCTATTATTGTTTTATTATTGTATATCATATTATTGTTAATTATCAGTAAAGCATTACCAAGTGAGATGCATTTTAGTGTTGTAACTGCTTAATGTGGAGCAAATTTTAACTTCTGTATATACAGTACTGTTTGTCAGTTTAATATGTCACAGTATATCATATTTATATGCTGATTGTATTTTTGTATGTAACTTCAAAGTAACTAATAAATGTAGTGCAATAAAAAGTAGTAGAGTACATGTGTTATCAACAGTAGAGGCATAAAAATGGAAATACAACACGTACAACAAGTGCGTATGATTTGTACTTAAGTACTTTACTTGAGTAAATGTATGTAGTTTTTTTCCCCTAAACCTTTTCAGTCATTTGTTTCTTGTTAACTGAATTTAAATTAAGCCTACCCAGAGTCAGGGGATGTAAATTCCTTGCCATTTTATTTTTTGTGGAAAATGAGAAAAACAAAGAGACTGGACAAATGAAGATATGTGAAACATCCAACTAAAGTCCCTCAGAGTCAAAGAGCAAGAATTTTGTGTGCAGAGCTGTTATGTTGTAGTGACGTTGAACAAGTTTACAAGGAGAAATGGGGCCAGTGTTCACACCAGCAGCAGAAATGAAACCTGTAAGTGATGCAACCTCAGATGTTTAGTCCCAGTGTCTCAGAAACTAGCTCCATCTAGCTGCATATCTGTAATCACACAATCTTGTCCCCTCTCAGGGCATTCCTGGAGGGCCTTCTGGGAGATGTCACGAAAGTAGATGCAGAACTTTAAGAAATACGGATACAACAAAAACTGTATCACAGCTCAAAATAACACCTCAAATAAAGTGAACTCTACCTGAGTTTCATTAGCCCCTCCTCCCACAAAGGTAAAGGTAACCCTGATGGGTGGGACATGGGCACGGCATATGACTATATGGTCAGTTGTGTCTGTGTGCAGATCAGACGGAGCAGATCACCCCGTCACTGAGCGGAGCTGCGGTTATGGCCCAGGTAAAGGTATCAAGCGATGCAGTGAGGAGCCACCAGGACTGCACAGAGGTTTACTCTGATATGGCTACTGTCAGCTCCAGTGCAGGTGAGTCCAAAAAAGAGAAGACACATAATATAAAAAATTTTAATGCAGTGATGGTCTCCTTCCATTCAGTCAGTGGAGAGTTATAGTGTTGCATGGTAATCTAAAAGCTGATGACGGGCCATTTTTTAGAGGAGTCACAGTTTAAAGTTGAATATATGTACGGGGTTTCTTTAACATCAAAACTGTTCAATGTAAAGACACTGAATATTAAGTCTCGTAGCAGCTTTAAATGGAAACTTTTGGCCTTAAAAACCTTGTTGGTTATGGCCTAACTGTTCATTAGTTGTTGAAGTTGCCAATTAGCGAAACATATTCAAAGTTTAGTAGTTTGTACCATGTAATCCAAATAAATTCTTATTGCGAAAAATCACTTTAGAGACCGTTTGAATGACTTGACCAGATTTGCAATATATAAATAAGAGAAAAAAACAAACTCTGTCAGAAAGCACACATCACCAATCCTTAAATCTGTATCCTCTATGTCTTTTCCAGCCATTATGATATGAATAGACAAGGTCAACTCAGTCCACCAATTTGACAGATTAGTCACTTTGTTAGTGACTGCATTGATAATCTTGGTCAAATCCCCCAGTTTCTGGTATCTCTTTCTCACGAGCTTGTCTTTGGCAGCTAAAGCTCTCTGGCTCTCAGGTTGCCTGATGGCAGTGGGAACCATTAAGTCAGTGTAATCCCTCCTTTTTGAGACAGTCATCGGTGAAATTCGCTCTTCAGCAGCTACGCAAAGCCTCAACCTTTTTTCCCTTCCTGCTCAAAACAGATATAGGAGAGTCGGCGAGGAAGGGGTCATTGTGCGAGACCTCCATGGCTGCTGGTCTCGGCCGGCGGAGCAGGGCCTACCCCACCCCAGCCAGGAGACGCCATCGCACCACCTTCAGCCACAAGCAGCTGGAACAGCTGGAAGTGGCCTTTGGACAAAACCAGTATCCTGACATCTACTACAGAGAGGAGCTGGCCCGCATCACCAAACTCAACGAGGCTCGCATACAGGTAGGACAGCTTTCACACTGCAGTCCTCTTACCAACCTTTTGCCAGTTGTGATGTGCATCCTGATATTTACAAAATAGATGGGGGTCAGCGATTTTATGGATAATCAATGTCACTTTATCATGGGCCTTTTTCACAACAGACATTTAGACTTGTCATAGCAGGAAAAGCACAGATGTCCCACTAAGTGTAGTCCACACATTGTGAAAAGTCTGATAACTGCTGACAACTAGCAGTGATTGTTTAATGTCAAGTGGAGATGTGGCTAGATTTCATGGTAAAATAAAATCTGTATTAGTTCTGTGTAGTTCAATGACAAAACATGGTGAAGCTTAAATGTCCCACTGTTGCTGAACCCAGCCTAGTGTTACAAGTAACACCAGGAACTCAGGCCGACTAATCCGTCCTTTTTCTCTGGCCCGCCCTCGTCACTGCAGGTGTGGTTTCAAAACAGAAGAGCCAAACAGCGGAAGCAGGAGCGGGCCTCCCAGAAGGTTCTCCCCATGGGTGTGATGCCGGGCCACAGGGCCCTGCTGGGAGGCATGCACGTCCAGCCGTCCGGCGTGGCTCGACAGTACTACACCCAGCCCCTGGCTCACATCCCCCGCCTCTCCCCCATGTACTCCCGCCACCCAGGCCCGGTCAGCCAGTGCCCCTACCCCAGTGTCCCCCCACAGCCTGCCTCCCAGCGCCAGCATGATGACTGGTACGGCCCTCTGAGGGGAAACCTCACCTCACCCATGTTCTCATTGGCCTCCATGCAGCCTCTGGACCCCACCTCCCACTGGAGCTAAGGTGTAAACAAGGAAACATGTTGTATATTACAAAATAAAATACATTAAAGCATTTTCTTTTAATCTACAGCTTGTTACACAAATTCACAATGAGTCCGCTGGTTTTTTATTTTATTTTCCAAACTAGTCTATAGATTCAAATTTGCAACTTTCTAATCACAAGTGTGCTTCTGTAGACTCTGGGTTACCACTGCAACAACTCATTTTCATATCCTGCAATCACCTCAAATGTGTAGTGCATGTCAGATATCTCTTTTTACATGTATTAAAATATTCTTTAAATTGTGCAGAGGGTTGTTTTTTACTGTTGAAGCAGAAGAGCTAGTGAACTATATACCAGATGTTATTGTAGAGCTTACAGCCCCGTCTCATGGCCTTTGTTCCATACTTAGCTTACATCATGACGACTGAATTGTCTCCCTGAAAAATTATGCAACTCCATCTACTTTTAAAGTCCACAAGATGCGTCTGAAAGCTCCAGAAGAAGTCTAGTTCTTAGTTATTAGTTGAACACATTGCTGCATTTCAGCCAAAATATGGTTTGGAATCTGCGCAATAATTGCACAATAATTCTCCTCAAAAACAAGAGACATTACAACTCAAGTCTTTCGATTATAATTTTTTTTTTTATTTATTTATTTCATATTCCAGAGAAAACGGAGTTGCATCTGTTATGCTTTCAGTTTTATTTTTTAAATATTTGCATTCAACAACCTGAATTGATTGAAGAATCAATACTGAATGGCAAAAATATAGAATTCATCCATACGAAAATCATATTATAGAAGAAATTACAGATGTACTCAACAATTGTCGACCTGAAGTGTCGTTTCCATATCTGTTTTAAAGGCAGCTAATATCTCAAGCGAAGGAGCTGCGTACAAGTGCTTTTCTGGAAACCCATGAAGCTGCAGTGGCAGCAGCATCGACCAGTGTGCTTTAAGTCTAGCTTATCCAGTGATAAAGAACCAGCATTGCACAGTACGATGCTGATTTACATTCACTTTATGACGTACCTGCTGGCTGATCGACTACAGGGAGGATAATGGTGATTGGCTCATATTGTTGTGGTAATAACCATGAAGACCACAGCAAAAACTACTTCAAGAAGAAATGAGTGGCGCTGCTGTGCCGCACCATGCCATTCAGTTTCATGTTGGTGTGCTTGTTACTTTGGGCTTCCCTCCAAAAAACAAAAAAACAAGAAAAACTTCAGTCACTTCATCAGTTCAACAAAGTTTTCTACCCTCTACAAACCCACACACACACACACACACACACACACACACACACACACACTACATCATAGAATATACATCTGAGCAAGGCCACTTTCTTTTGTCATGAGAACGACCTGTTCGTCTCACAAACAGCAAATGAAATGGATTCACAGAAGGAATCATTTGGTCCACTATGTTGAGCATCAAACAGCAGGTGTGTGACAAGTCCACCATTTACACAGCACAGTTTGAAATGGAAACTGGTCCATTTAAAATGAGGACGTTCTGTTTAGATGCTACTGGGCTACCGGTGTAGCTCCACAAAAATACGAACACACAAGTAGAAACACACACTACAGCATTCCTGTATGTATCAAGGGTCAGTTCACCCAAATTATAAAATTAGTTTTATAGTTTTTTTGTTTGTTTTTAAGAGATATCTGTTGCTGAGACTTCTGCTGCTGCAGTGCAGTGGAGGACGTCACTAGAGACAGTTCTCATTGGCAGTTGTTCATTTGGTAGAATTAAAAGAACATTTCCAGCTTTCTTGTAACCAGCTAATGACAGTAGTCAAAGATCTCTCTAAACCACAACTAACAGAATTGACAGTTTATTTGTATGGCTATGTACCACTGAGGTTTAAAATGAATGATTGTTAGTGATATTGGGTGAACTGGTCCTTTTTTTAAATGGCACAATTTCAAGGAACCTACAAAAACAGAGGATGTAGAAACATCCTTCTGTGAATTGTAAGCATACACCAGAGTCAAACTAAAAGGAAAAAGTTGAATCTTGAACTCCACCTTTTTGTTGCTTGTTAAATTACTGGCATAACCAAATTTGTTCCTGCTTTCCAGCTTGGACAAAAGAACTGTCACAAGGCTGAAAAACTCTCATAAATTACCATCAACCCTGAACTGATTGCCTGTGAGAGAATTAGAAAAGATTAAATGATGGTCTTCAACGATGTGGTGCAGCTTCTCAGTTTGGCTCCATGTACACCCACTAATGGCGCTCCCCTTCTCTGCAGATTCCTTGCTGTTGTTGTGGACATGATGACACATGAAGATGCTCTACTCCAGTGATTTGGCAAACTCTGCATAATCTATATAACCGTCATTGTTTTTGTCATCGTCCCTCAGAACATCATCAATGAGATTAATCAGGTCCTCCTCCTTCATTGGCTGGCTGTCCTCTCCTCTCTCCTAAAAAAGAAAAAGAAAAGAACAAATGTCTGACAACAGAATATTTATAGATGTATTATGTGGCAACTGGAGGCGATAACAAATGTTATTGTATGTATGTATGTTATATATGTTATATTTTGCTGGTTACGTTTTTTTTCCAAATGTGAAGCCATGCTGCTTCATTTTGTGTTTCATATTATTTTCATTGAATATCTTTGGACTTTGAACCGTTGGTCAGACAAGACAAGACATCTGAATATAACCTTGGGCTTTTAGAATTTGAGAGGGGCATTATTCACTATTTCTTTTTATAATTTAAATCTTGATTGAAAATTGATAATGAAAATAACTGTTGGCTCTAAATCATATTTTAAAAAATTGTGGTACACTGCAAAAAGCAAAAACTGGCTAGGTTGGAAAGTATGACCATGGTATGTGTAGCTTGCTGAGGTTGCATGTATGTTGTTTGATTTCTGGGTATTGCAGTTTTTCACACTGTGAGTCAGTCTCCAAGTAAAAAAGCATTTAGCTGAAGAAACATAATGACATGCCATCATCATAACATTATGCATTTGGGTGATAGGTATTTTGGAAAGGAAAGGGTGATATTTTTTAAACACTTCCTACCCAGCAAGCTCCATTTTTTGTCAAAACAACTAAAATCTTTATCACAAACAAGTGTATTAAGCTGGTAAACACACATCCTCTGTGATCCCTCTTTAAGCAGCCAGTAACAAATGGTTTTAGGTACCAAAAGCAACAACAAACAAAGCAAATGTATACACAATCACACACACACGCCCACCTCTCTGTGTACATGAGTGATCGCTGTGGCTAGCTCCAGCCCGTCCAGGAGGTTGTTTCCATCATAATCATGCATCTTGAAATAGTGCAGCTGAAGCTCCTGGGGTGTCATGTCTTTCTCTGGTTTGTCTATCACTCCCTCCAGATGCTCCATGATGTGGCTAGTAGACAAAGAGGCCAAAAACCACAGCTTTTGAATACACACAGAGTGTGTGAAGGTAGCTCCTGACTCTGATCAAAGTTCATTAGTATGTGCAAATAACCCTTCTGAATGAGGAGATATTACTCACTCTTTGTCCTGGACCATGTTTTTGTCCAGGCGACCGTGACCATGGCCCGTTACGTGAGCCGCACTCTCTACTGCAGGGGGCTGCTGATGTGGATCCCCATGAGAATAAACACACAGCAGACAGCAAGACAGGAGGAACAGACACCCCCAGTGCACAGTAGACCTGCCACTCATCATTCTGTTAGGCACACATACACACACACACAAACACACACAAACACACACAAACACAAAAAGACAGACAGACGACAGACAGACGGCAGGACACGCAGAGTTAAAAGACTGGTGTGCTGTATCTATAAATCTACAATACGGTGGGCATCATATATCCTGATGATACACACTAGGCTTACATTGTTTTTTCTACCTTTCTACATTCTGTGATTCATTTTTCTCTCACATTTTTCATTCATACATTCCAGTACTGCAACCAGACAACCCTCAATTTTAGACTCTTAGTTATAGCATGTTTTTTCTTGTTGTTTCTTGTTGTTAAATTACCATTGTGTACCATATGTTCATTAAGAAAACACAGATTTTTTTTTTATCTACCATAGGCAAATAATAGGCTATGTAAGCATATGTTTCTGTTAAAATATCAAATTGGGAGCCCTGCTATATGCACTATGAGGTTACATTACTATGCTAGTTAAAGAACAGAAATTATCAGAAACAATCATTAACGTTAGCTCAAAAGCTACACCAACATTTGCTAGCACGAAGCTTCAATTCAAGCCTACATAGAAATGACAAGATTTGTTTAATGCATAAACTAATACAAGACTTACTATGATATGGTTTGTAAAAAGGCAGGTTTAATACCTACTTGAAGCTAATTTCTGTCTTCACCTGGCTCCGTGGACAGTTATGTTGTTTGAATAGTTGGTAGGCAATAACGTTTGGTCACAGCATTTAGGGGCCAAGTCGCTTGCCGTAGCCCCTCTTGGACACGACAGCTCATTATGATTGGCTAATATTATCAGAGAGTATACAACCGAAGTGAGAGAATTTACTACACACTTAAAATTTTGCTAGTCAGACTACATGGCTACTTTCAGCTGTCCACGAGAGAATTACATTTTTATTATAACCTGTGTATGTTTCATCATAATGTATAAAGTTACACTAAGATAACGATACGCTGTGATATCTAGAAATACCATTAAGTACGTAACAAAACAAATGTAACCCGAGTGAAATCGTATTAAGTTGTTTAGTCTGTTGAGTAAGCTGACAGAAGCTAACGTCTAAGCTATTTGACACAATATTCACATTCTCACGTTGTAATATATGTGCGCTTATGGCACTTCCCATGGTGCAAAGTACTTTTTTCGACGAGAACTATCTTGACAGAAAAAAACCTTTGAGGTGACTGTATTAGTACGTCAGCAGGGGGCGTGAAGCAGCCGCTCAGCTGTCAAATCTGCACCGCACAGGAGCACGCTGTGTGGTGGACGGTTACTGAGGAGGGCAAGCGTCGATTTGTGTCAAACAAATGTCAAGTTTCCAGAGAGAA